AATAGTTTACAGTATGCCAAGTTTATACATGTTTTAAAAATAACTTAGTTATAATAATATAATAATAATTTAACCAAGGTTGTTTGGCTATGAAACAACAATTTACTTTTCAAATAGTTTTAGGGAAATAAAACATTTATAAAAATACACACCATGCAACTACTCACCTGAACATGGTTTAATATAATCCTCAAACAAAATAGGAAAGTCCAACTAGTGCCCTGAACCAAGTACGAAAACTACATATCACTAGTAACTCAAAAATACTAAAAAGAATAAGAAACTAAGTAATCCCAAGCTAAATCACACTATCACGGCTCAACCCAACTCACCGTTACTATTAAATAATACCTAAGTTCATGTTCTTCAAGGTCTAAACTTACCCAAGACATGAGTTCATATCGAAACTTAATTAAAAGTAACTTTAAGATAAAACAGAATTTTAAACAAGTTTTCCCAATCTATTAGCTAAATTTGAAAATTAAAAACCCACTCAACGCTGTTAGAAAGATTCCAAAACCCTCCAAAGATCAACTAATATATCCTCAATTTCAAACCCAATTGGTTTCACTTGATTTGCTTATCAAAATAATTATTTACAATTAATTATATCTAAACAGGTCACTTTCTGCAGCACTTTAAAGAAATTAATGATTCTCTTAGTATACCCGAACAATCAATGCAAGGCCAAAAAATTAAGAAACTAGACTCGTAACCAGTTCTAATGACGCTGATTTGATAATTTTCGAATTTATACCCAAAGAAAACAACACTTCCGAAGTTACTATTTTGTACATGTTTCCTAGACAAATTTGAGCGCATCAGTTTATATGGATTTTGACTCCCGAAAATTATAAAATAATTCTGGCATGAAATTCAATATTTAATTAAGCTATTGTAAAAATTGCAGTTCAAAATTCATCAATTTCATATGATTTCTTGATTTTTAAAGTTTGTGTTTGTGTGCAGATTTTTTTTTTTTTTAGACTAAGAATTACACCCATTATTTCTCATCACCAACCACTAACTTGGCACTCAAACAACACACCCGTTTCTCCTATTCCTTCCCAACAATAAGCAGATTACACACATGAGCCATCACAATATAAAAATATAATAAAAAAGGACAATACCTTAGAGTTGTTGACCCACCAATATTGTTGAAAGTTTCTCTCCAATCTCTCCTCTCTCCCTCTCCCCCTCACGGTTGCGGCTATTTTGTGGTGAACAAATAAGAGAGATTAGGGTTTTATTATTATTATTTATTAACATTTAATATCGTGTGTTTAAAATTAATTAAAATACCCTCCAACAATATTTAATTTGAACTTTCGAATTCATCATCAAAATATTTGAGATTGTAAAATCATTATTATTTAATTATTTACTTTATTTTTATATTCGGATTCTCACAAAAAGTAAAATTTTCAAGTATTATAGTTTGGTAATATGACACTAAAGTAATCTAATTTGTATAGCAACGTATCACCAAACAAGTACTTCACAAGTGGCCTTGAATTAATTTCTTATTATCATCCAATCAAACGACAACATATTGCTGGGAAAAATAAGTGTGTCTAGTAACATGGCACTGGTAGGGCTGCAAATGAACTGAACCGTTCATTAACAAACTCGGCTCAACTTGTTAAGGGCTCGGCTCAACTCAGCTCGGTTCGTTTGGTAAATGAGCCTAGCTCAAGCTCAGCTTGTCAAGTTCAACTCGTTTATCTTTATTTAAATTATATAATAAATATATTATTTATCTATTAAATAATATATAAATAATATTTTTTATTTAAATAATATAAATAATATTAATAAAAAAAAATAGCGAGCTCAGGAAAGCTCGGCTCAACAATAAAAAAATATCGAGCCAAGCTCGAGCTTAATAAACGAGCTCGATAAGTAAATGAACCAAGCTCAAGCTCAGCAAAGCTCGGCTTAACTTGATTCATTTGCAGCTCTAGGCACTGGATTAATTCAAATTTATTAGCATTGTATTACCGAACAGGGTCGGCACAAATTTAAAAATCATTGTTTGGAAGAAAATGACTCTGTAAATGTATAGCAACATAACATCGGAGGAATGTAAATTGTTTAGCACTGTGTGATCGAACAGGCGCTTCGTTGTGGGCTCTACTCACTGTCTTCCCGGCGTCTTTCTCTTTCTCCTTGTTGCGTCTTTCTCTATTCTCTTATTTTCCCCCCAAAAACTATTGGTGTAAAGAGATGAAAGGGTTTTGAAGAGTTTTACTTTAGGATTAGTTTTGGTAATATAATAGGTGTAATGAGAATTACATTTTTTTTAGTGGTGTAATGAGATAGAGGGTGTAAAGAGGTAAAATAGTGGTGTAAATAGAATCACTCTCAAAAAAATCTTAGTTAGGATTTAGTGAAGTATAAGTTCATAAACTAAGACTTACGTGTAAATGCCCCAAAAAAACATGTTGAGACTATTTGCGTATGTGCAGAAGAAAAACAAAAAAATATATATATATTCACAGCTATTTACGGCAAATTACTTTAGAATGTTAGGTAAAGTATATATTCAAAAAGTATGAATTCTATTTAGGGGGTATATAGCTCGGCTTGATTCAATCTGGGTTGAGGAAAAATTTAATATCAAACTGAACATTTGGTTTTTTTGATTGAGAAACCAAAACTGATTACATGCTATTGTGATTTAGTTTTGTCATTTCTGTGTAGAGAAATAATTCACTAAGGCTTATATGAATACATATCAACTAATTAATCACTCAGTATTTTTCTCCTACTTGTTGGCATATCTGGAAAGCACGTAATGACCAAGTTTTTAATCAGTGGATCTAAAGTTGGTGATCGGCAAGGCTATTAGGGAAGCCATGGAGTTCAAAGCAGCCGAGTCTTACTTGGCGTCTCCCTCCCGTGTTACGCGGTCAGCATTAAACATGGGCTCCCCCAGCCCAGGGGTCTCTCAAAGTGAACTGTGATGTAGCGGTTAACTCTGGTTCGTTTTAATGCATAACACTCAAGGGAAACTCATTGACGGGTTGGCTTGTGAGGTTACTATATATCACTTTCGCGTTTCAGGGCGAAGCAGTAGCAATTCTTATGGCTTGTGTCATGTGTGATGCTCTGAATGTTAGCAAGGTGGAAATAGAGGGAGACAATAAGAGGGCGATTAAACTGTGTGTTTCTGAGGATGTTCCTCCATGGGAGTGTGCTGCCATCTTTGCAGACATCAGGGCAATGGCTCAACAGCCTGTGTTAACCTTTAGGTGGTGCCCACGGAGTACTAACCGCGCCGCACACTGGGCTGCCCGAGCTAGACTGTAAATTGGGTGGCTTCCAATCTTCGGTAGTATCAAAAATGAATTTCACTACTTATCAATAATTTTTTTTTTTCTGCCACCAATGCAAGAGGATTCCCAACAGATAAAAGACAAACAAATAAAAAGGAAACATTAACATCAGAGCTAAAAACCTGTGAACTGAATTTGTTTGATGGGTCTATTTTATAATATTTGATGATCCCATAATAAAAATTTGCCAAAGGTTCACTGGATCATTTCTGCAGAGCCTTTAATTACTACTCAAAAGTATTACCATTATTGATGCCCCTATACAGTTCGTATCCAACTCCCAAGTTTGCATCAACCGTGGGGATTTACTCATAGCAAGTCCAAGAAATGAAACTTCGAACTAGTACCTGTTTAGTTTGGTTCACAACATATATATCTGATAAAACATGGTTTCTACAATAACACCAAAGCAAGCATATCACAGAATATTCTCCCACTGGGCTGCACCTTTAATAATACACTAATACTACGAACTCACCCTTATCAATCTAGAAATTATCCAAAATCTTCATCTTGTGATTCAAATTTATCTTATACATGCACCCCACATGAATCTCATTACACAAATTCATCTTCACTACACAATCACTCACCCAAGATTTTTTGGGTGAATTAATCTGATTCTCTAGACATTTTCTTAATAATATATATGAATCCGGTTATAGACACACCATTTTCAATGACGCATATTCCCCTGCATACTCACAATGGTAATAGAGTCCACACCACAATGATGTGTAAGTGAGCCCCACTCTCATTGTGAGTAGACACTAGAATACAGTTTTGCTACCGCTACAAATTAATCTACCAATTACTCACACGTGGCTCCACACGTGAGTAGTTATTAGAAAAGTTTGGTAACTTGGTTTGTATCTCTTATCATTTTTTTTAATGGAATATGCTATAAAATTCCCTAATCTTCCTCATACTATAAATTAAGTCAATCCATCAATTTCAAAAGTCATACATAAAATATGAGACATTTGGCAAATTCATTATTCATTGAAAATGTGACATGAGACAACTAATGATACTAAGGCCTATTTTGAAAAGTTTAAATTTTAGTTAAAAACTCAAAAAGCCACTAAAAAAAAAAATCAGTCTTCTATCTACTTTTTTATACATCCTTTTATAGAAAAGTTGCAAAAACTACTAAAAAAACCAATTTCCAAAACAATCTTTAAGGAGTAGATAAGCAAGTACAAAGAAGTTGCTTGTCATAAAATAAAAATAATAAAAAAGAATATCTATATATATATTAATAGTAATAAAATAAAATTAAAAAATTATTATTATTATTATTAAATAAATAAATGAATAAAGATTAGTAGAATATCACACGATACCCACCGTATATATATGCTCAGTAAGAAGCAATTGGCACTTGCACACATCAAAAGTCATGTATTATTTATTATCAGCATCACTCATAGAGAGCAGCCCCCATTATTGCTCCCCAAATAAAGATTAGTAGAATATCACAAGATACCCACCGTGTATATACCTGCTCAGTAAGAAGCAATTGGCACTTGCACACATCAAAAGTCATGTATTATTATGGGCATCACTCATAGAGAGTAGCCCCCATTCTTGCTCCCCAAAACCCATTTAAGCTAAAATATGCAGATGATATATAATGGCCATTCGCTTTATAACTCATTTGAAGGAATGACATTAGACCACATAACAAAAAAAGCCAGATTCATTTTCACTTGGAGATGTGATGCAACGAACTATACGACTGGAATCTCTGTTTTCCATCCCTAAAACACCCTACCTTATCTACATCTATCAGGAAAATCCCAAAGATAAATCTTTCTATAAACAAATATCTGTGCAGTTACATAGAATAAAAAAAAACCAAACTAAGAGAAGGAACTTACTAGCCCTAAACTGCCACCCATCAGCCCTGGCATCAGCCTCACCAGCTATCAAACTGGACGACGGAACTGCTCACAATCCTTTGACCCATTTTTGTTGAAGTTTGTAACTAGACTATTCATCATTCTAGCTATTGCTTCCTTGAATTCACCAGGTTGGTTCTTTTCTGCCTTATTATTTGTATCTTCGACGACTCCTCTGACCACAGACCCAACTTCAGCACCCTCCATATAAGCTTTACATGCTGACAGAATGTCATGTGCTTGAAGACGAAAATGCCCAGCAACTAAGTCCTCGAAATGCTGCAAACAAGCACAACCGATCAAATATAACTTTTTGGAAACCAGAGAGCATACATCATGAAATCATATATGAACAGAACTCTAGATTTCACCATCAGACATCAGAGAGTATGTACACAGGCATGCATTGGTTTGTTCACCCACATGAGTGTGCAATGATGGGTGCAAGGATTTGTCTCCCTGGATGTATGGCCATTTGTTATAGCCATCATTGAAATTGACAAAATTGCGTATTGTCCTTGATTCTATTAGTGACTACACCAGCTTGAATCTATTTTTTACTACAGAAATGCCCATCCGGATATGGTACCAAAATTATCGAATTTTGGCACACTAACAGTACTGGAAATAACAGAATGAGCCACGGAACATATAGCTATGCTCTCTAATCAAGTTAGCCATTCGAAATCACACAATTAACACTGGACAGAAAGTTGAATGCAATTCCAACCAGCCATTCCATAGGAGAACATTGCAATTCCATCTAGGGTTTCAGACACTTCGTTTTCAAGAGTTTCCACGATTACAATTTATAACTAATCCGTCAAAGTAATTCATGTGAGCGATAATTAATAGGGGCTCTGAAAGTCGATCTCTACTGCATTTCGCCCAATACATGTGCTCACATGCATGCAGACATATATATATATATATAGAGAGAGAGAGAGAGAGCATTTTAGGGAAACAAAATTAGTAAAAGCACGTATAATCATCCAACGTCATGCTCCTCTCCTAAAATGGTCTAACAAATATCACCTTCACATGTCAAACTGTCAGGGAGGGCTATCCATGGGTCAGTCCAGGTCAGGTTTGCCCTTAACCCGTCACCTGACCAAACTACTTTGGGTTGGGTATTTGAACAATTGACTTCAACCGTTCATCCATCTGAAACTGTCCGACCTACTCAATTCGGTTTCATGGTCAGTTCGGTCAATGGAACTAATACCAAAAAAGAACAGAGATGAGGCACCAATCAACTCAAACAGCACTCCAAACTCCAGAATTTGACTCAAAACTTGAAATAAATATATAAATAAATTACGTCTTTTCGCCTCTCGTAGATGAAATATAATAGTGAACATATATCTTTAAAAAAAGGCCTCCAAAAAGCGATAGAGGAGCTTCAATGAGGCAATGAAGCTCCTCGATTGATGTCACCAATCTTCTATCCCCATCAAGATTGTCGTTGTCGCCGATTTGAGAGAGAATAAGAAACTCAAGTGAAAGAGAGGCGGCTGAGAAAGACTGTTTTCAAAGCTTCAAGATCATCAACAATGGCAGACTATGAGAGAATATGGTGAGAGCTGATGCTTGCAGTCTTGCAGATCATTGTGGGGGGGGGGGGGGGGGGGGATTTTGAGGTTGGAAATTTTTTTTTTTATAATTTTTTTAGATCAAGTCTTTAGATTTTGGTGATAATGTGCAATTTGAGAGACCAACAAAAAATGGACACATGTAAGGTGTATAATTGTATAATATTTCAGTCGGGTCTGGTTGTGAGGGTATTTTCACTAGGCCCAACACCTGACCAGTAACCCTAAAAAATGACCCCTTACACCCGCAGCCAACAGAACCACCTGTCCAAACCATCCATTAGTGAGCAGGCCGGGTCAGTTGAGTAGGTTGGTAACATTTTTTGACAACCCTATTGTAATCCCTTTTCTTGGGAAGGCAAATGGACTATCATACTCATAAGAATTCATCTAATATTGCATGAATTGATTAGAAATACTGCAAAAACAAGCGCACACAAAAATTATTCACTAATTCAAAGCATCACAAATTTTACACATGAATATTGAATACCAATAAAGGCATCTTTTTTCAGTTTAAAAGAATTTTGATATGGGTTCATATTATGCTTTTCACCGAAGTAAATCAATTTAGACATCTATAAAACTTACATAATCCAGATTAAATATGAACCATAACTATTGAAATCGCAAAGGAAACTTAGCCTTTTGGTATGTTCATGTGAATATATGTTCATCTCTGCATCCATGAATTTTCTGATATCAATGGATGTAGGTCCTTCCTACCTATTGGCTAGTTTCTTTGGGCAATTAAGTGAATCATTTTAAGTGCCAGAACTAAACAAAGCATGTTTCATCAAATAATTACTCGAAATTGCAGCAATGTACTGAAGAATAACAAAGCCATACTTAGTTGTGGTTAAGGATTCACTCAGTTGAGTTTTGAGTTAAGTTGGTTGATGCTATTATTTGGGGGGGGATCATAAATTTTTAAGGAAGCTCACTCTGTCTTCTTCTTGGCCTCTCTGATGCACCAAGTTCCAGAAAGCAACAAGTTCAACTGCAAATTAATCTAAACTCATCCAGCTTTGCTCTGACTTGCCTTCTGGAACTTGGGTTAAAGACAGCCCAAGGGGTGTTGACAAACCTGAGACATTGAGTAATCGACCTTAGCTTACCAGTATGAGGTGTCACTATTTTTTTTTTCCAATTTTCTTCTGGCAATTATCAAGCATGAGGTGCATAAGCATCACCTTAGTTATACAAATTAGTAGAGTGAACACACACAAGTTTCTCTCACTTGCAATAGTACAAGACAATCTCCACTTTATGCCAGGCCAAGTCTAACATAAATACCTTTCTATTTAGGTTCAGCTAACAAGAAACCAAGTTAACTCTGCCCTCTTAAATGTACTGATCATAGAATCATTTGACAGTGCAACGTTGCCATCTTGCTTTCAAAAGTAGAAAACAAGCTCCACTTTATACCATGCCATGGCTAATATAAAACCCTTTCTATTTCAGGTTCAGCTAATGGGAAACTGAGGCCTTGTTTGGGGAGTAAACTATTTTAGCTAAAAAGTCACTATAAGTTGTCACATCACTCTCTTTACTTTTCTGCACTTCTTTTCATAAAAAACCAAAAAGTTACTAAAATAACATGTTCCCAAACAAGGCCTAAGTTAGTTCTGCCCACTTATGCATATCAAAAGATATCAAAGATTCATTCATAGTGCATTGTCATCTAGATAAAAATATGAACACAAAACATCCATATTACCTTGGCAAATTATGAATCAAGCATCAAGGCAAGAAAACACATAATGATCACAACAGGATGGCGATAATAACAATGCAAAAATTCGTACCTTTGGGGGCCTCCTAAGCGTATACATCATTGTCTTCAAAGATAGAATAAACACATCCTCATTGTAAGCCTTTGATCTTCTTTCTCCCTCCAGCCCACCATACATATTGGCATACCCAGGTTCGTTAAAGAAGGGCTTTGCATTCAATATCAAAGCTTGTATAGAGACAAGGACTTGTAGCATGGTTGATGTCTTTGGCATCCACATCTCATTCTTGTTGCCACTCCATGTGTTTAAAAGGCTGAGGCAGACTTTCCCACAATCATACAAGTTTGGGTTTAATCGAAGGCCACCAGAATAGTAGTAAACCATCTGCCAGAGAGAAGCAAAACTAATCACAATGGAAAACATTATAATAATTAAAACAAGGATATTACCACCAAGAACATACCGGGGGCACATCAGGATAGGTAGTAGGGAAGAGAACATCAAAGACGAACAGACCATCATGGTAAGGTGTCCCTGCTGGTCCTACAATGATAGCCCTCAAAAGATCTATCCTTGTTTCATAAACTCTTACATATATTGTATCTGTGTGAAAGAGAAATGACGAGTAAGTGAGAAAGGTAGGTAAAATATAAAATTCCTTGAGATGGCCAAGAAAAATAATAAATAAATAAAAGGCCATACAAACAAAACCAAAAATATGAGCTGAATGTTTCCTTTCAATTAAATGAAAAGGAAGAGATTTTATTTGTGATTTGTGAACTACATGTCCAGTCCACTCCAAAAAAAGGAAGCTTAATCAGTATGGTTTGCCGCAAATCCATCACCATATAACTGATTGAACAGCAGACAGAACTCACCAGGTAAATCCTTCTCCAGAATTTTCCACTCTTCCTGAATTCTCTTTGCCCAAGAGGGTGGCTATCAAGGAAAAGAGTAGATAGAAGTAACAAAGGCACATCCATTAACATAAACAAAGGTAAAACATGAGATGCAGGTTAATGTAACTAAACTTACCTGCTGCCCTGAAAAGGCCACACCGTTGAAGTGATGATCCGAAAAATCATCAACAGTATCAAACCTTTTAAAAAGTTGCAACTTACTCAGAACTACATCTTCTTTTTCTTCTTTCTCTTTCCCACTGGAACTTGACTGTGCAAGGACTGTTGAACTGCTTGTAGCAGCAGCCTCAATTTTGCTATTGGCAGCGGGATCATAAATTTTTAAGGAAGACATCCTTGCCCCAGCAGGCTGACCCACAGCACCACTCGGGCCTGTAGCATTATTAGAAGCTGGGGCATTTGCACTGGGAGAAGGATCTCTCAACCAAGAAACTGATGCCTCTACCCCAGGAGGTAAATCCACATTATCGAATTGGGCTTGCATACTCAGATAATCATCATCATTATCATCATCATCATCGTTGTCGAACATAAAATCATCATTGTCATCATAATCAGAAACATCGTCGCCATCATCAACGGCCTCATCGGCATCATTATCATCATGATATGACATATCTGAATGGGAACCATTGAGATTGTCTGAATTAAGAGACTCAGATGTTAACCCCACAACAATAGTAGACTTCTCAAAATCGTTGGCCACAGCATCCTGGAGGAAGACAGGAAAAATGCTTAATCACAAAGCATGGTAATGGTACAAGTGTATTAAATAAAGGAGCTTGCAATGGATTACTAAGAAGCACAAATGGAATTTACATGGGAAAGGGGATATACCATCAGTCGAAGTGTGTTCATGCATGGTGAGGTTTGTGTCAGTGTTGTTTCTTGCCTATATTTTCTCTTTTTTCTCCTTCATTTCCGAGGGGATGGGGGCAAAACTAAGGAGCAGATGTATAACAATAATAATGTAGCTCTCATTCTATGCCATGGTCATTAAAAAAGGGGGTAGAAGTAGGGAGAAAAAATATGAACAAAGAAAAAGGTTGAACTAATTAGCAAGGAAACAGAGATTATTTTGGCGACATCATAATCATAATTTACAACTGGAAAGGGCACATAAATACATATATATACATATATATATAATTTGGGTAACGGATGGGGAGAAGAAAAAAAAAATGTCTTACTGTATCAAGAAACCATAGCCAACTTTCAAACATAACCCTTCACCAAATATGTTTGCAATTGACCTAACATAATCGCGGGAAAAAATGGTGAGGCTTACTTTCTTGATGATTAGACCAAATAATGAAGCATATATGAGGTGTATATCTCAAGCTTGAGCTCAACAACACCAACACATGCTTCTCCTAAAATTCAACTAGTTGCCAAGAAAGACTTTCAAGGGGGAAAACATGCTTCAGACATGGATATGATATCTTTTGAAGGGGGGAAGAAAACAAAAAAGAAATTTTTTTTTGTTTTGGAAATTATTGCGAAATGGGATTTTTTTTTTTCTTTTTCTTTTCCTTTTTATTATTTATATTTTGAATGTCCAATACGAGCTAGAAACTACAAAGAAACTACAGAGAAACCTACAAGAAACTATGTAAACTCCTTGAAAACTTAATAGAATTTTAAGGATTCATCTTGAAAAACTTCTAGTAGATGTAATAGACGCCTTTTAAAAAAAATTCAAAATACCATATGAGAATGGTTTGAGAAACTTCAATGAGGAACATGAGAAGTTCTGAAAACCTAAGAAGCGCGGACATGAACATGCAACACAACATTGACACATCGACACAACAATTTAATTTAATCTATAGTATTATTAAGTGAAGGCCTCAATTGGAGTAGTGAAGCTTTGCTCTCCTCATGTCACGTGACAGTGTTTTTTATTTTTTATTTTTTTTAAAAAAAGTAACACATATGCACAAAATATATAGTTTTATATATTTATAATATGAATATTTCATTCAAACTTAAAAACAATACAACATAACACTAATTTCTAAAGTTTAATGGAGTAAAAATTAATAGATACAAGTCTAGATATTTTTTTATCATTATACCTTATGTTAATTTATTAAACGTATAATATGTTTCATGTGTGACTAAGTGATGGATACACACGTGTGTCCATTGCGTGTCCAAATCTGAAATATGACATGTTTGGACGAGTGTTTGAACTTGTCTGGAAGTGTCCAACATGTGTCCGTGAGCAACCTTAGAAGTATATGGGCTCCTTAGTTGAAAACCATTTGAGAAACTTTGGAAATCACTTCAGGAAACACATCATTGAAAAGGAGACTTAAAAGTTTTAATAAAATTTATAGCTATAAAATGTAGGCTGATAATATATTTAAAATAAATAAAAAATCAGTTAAAAATGAGAGAATTTTTTTTTTTTTTTTTTTGGGGGGGGGCGGGGTAATTATTGTTTCAACCCTTGAACTTTGCTCAAAATATCAATGTGATACTCGTACTTTCAATTATTATATCGAAGCCTCAAATTCTTATAAGTCAAAATAGTTCAACTATTAACAAAACTAAGGCCCCGTTTGGGGACTTACTTTTTTAGCCAATTAGCCAAAAAGTTACTAAATTAGCCAAAAAGCCAACAACTCATACAAAAAAGTCAAAGATTCTCTTTTCTCTCTACTTTTTGCACATCTTTTCGTAATTAACCAAAAAGTCATCCCAAACATACAAGTTTTTTTTACCTACTTTTTTAGCTAAATAACCAAAAAGTTACTAAATTAGCCTGTTCCCAAACAAGGCCTAAGAAGAACTAACCATGTTAGATCATATGCTTCCTACTTCAACTGAATTAAGGTTGAAACTAAGAAAAAAAAAATGTTTGAATGAAAAAAGACAAGCGAAGAGAAAACCTAAGAAGCAAGGCCACGGACATGCAACATGACACAGATACAACACAAACACGCCGACACACCAATTTTTAAAAAATACAGGACACGACACGTGAGGGACACGCATGAAATTTATAATTTTATATATTTATTATATGTTATATATATGAGTATATCATTCAAAGATAATAAAAAAATACGACATTAATTCTTATAAATTTATATGATTTTTGTTTTATTATTGTATCTTAAGATGTTTTGTTCAAAATTATAATTAGTTTTGCCCGTGTCTAATCAATAGACACGTGTGTATAAACGATAAACACATGTGTCTTCTAAGAGTCCAAAGAGTGTTTGGATCTTTAAAAAAAATTAAAAAATAAGACACATTTTGAAGAGTGTCGAACACGTGTCAAGAGTGTCGGTGTCCGACACTGACACGACACGACACGAACACATCACCTTCTTAGAAGTGTCAGTACTTTTTAGAAGAAAACTAACAAAAGTTTCAATTACGGGCATACACAAGTTTCGAAGGTTGAAGCCCAGTGCCTATGAGAGCATGTACATATTAAATATATAAATATATTCTAACAATTTATTTATTTGTTCTTAGTTTGTAATATATGTGTTAAAATATAAATTATTATTGGAGACTGATATCAATTACAAATTGTCCTCGTTAAGTACAAATAAATATTATACAAATAAAAAGTACTAAGAAAAGTTTGAGTTGTTTTTCTTTTAGATTTGTATGTTTGAAAAGTTCTATCTCATAAGAGAGCAAGTTTCTTCCTCAATAGGAACGAATTTCTTACAGGTTTCTTACTTGGGAGCACGAAATTGCGTTTCTAAGTAAAAAACATCTCCCAACTAGGAATTTCCTATTTCTAAGAATTCAGCTTTCGTTTAAGGTAGTAACAAGTGACAAATTGTCACAAAAAAAGGAGGCTTTTCTTAGTATCATTACCTATTTTGAAAAAAAATGATTTGACTCAAAAAGTTAAAGACCTAAAGTAGAAAAATTTAAAGTTCAAGGATGGCATTAAAAAGTGAAATAAAGTTTGCGGGACAAAACGATAGTTTACCCTTTTCTTAAGGGAAAAACTAATAAAGGTGATTTGTTTTCTTTTATTTATGGGTAAATTACACAAACCTCTCTTAAAGTTTGGAGAAAATACATTGGGCTCCACAAGTTTAAAATAATTGCATTGGGCCCCCGGCTCTCTTAAAGTTTTAATTCACATAAAACTTGGCTCCTTTTCATCGACAATTCGTAAATTGTATGGAAGAAAAAATGATGTCGTCATTTTTTTTTATACTAAAATATATATTTTATCTTATCTATCCTTATATCTACACACCATCTACGTTAGTTTTGAATGCTTTAATCGTGTAATTAAGCCAAACTTGTGAGGCTTTTGTATATTTTTTCTAAACCTCAAGGGCAGTCAGTGTAATTTACTGTTTATTTATATTATTTTTCTCGTTGGGATGGTGGACTATGAAAGAGCATATGCTCACAGATGAAGTGAAATGAAAATATGCATGTCTATGACATCTATATTCAAACTTCGTTATGATAATGTCCTAACTAAGATGTCTATCTATATAGCATTCGTGCTAAAATGTTGGCTTCTTCAGATGTCTATCTATATAGCATTTGTGCTAAAATGTTGGCTTCTTATTTCCTGCCAATAAAAGGAACTCTAATCAAGTCTTACCTATGTAACATATTTGTTATACACTTATCATAGGTGGGGGTGGAACTGTGCAAGGGGCAAGAGGGGACTCGACCCCCTCCAAATTTTGAAAATTTATCATTAGTTCTATATTTTATGTTTATTTGTAAAGTGTATAATGGGATAACTCCTTAACTTTATAAAAATTACTTTACTAAATTTTTATTTCATTAGTATTTCACAATAATGAGATGATTTTTAATCATTCCACATTTTAGTTAATAACATCAATTTTATCTAGTTGATTTTATTAATACAAAAGGTACATGTCACTTCCTTTTCTAATTTTAAAAATTAGATGGTATATATACTTTTTTATGAGTAATGTTAGAGAAAATAAAATATCATCCCTAAATTTATCCACAATGACATGGCAGAACGTTGGGTCTTAATTAATTGATTTCTAAACAAACCAAAAAAACTGACATGTAACATTCCATGTCATTAAGTGTAAATTTAAGGGTCATGTTTTAGGAGTCTGATGCATTTTTCACTGTTTATTTACTAGATCTAGATTATTATCAATCAATAAAATAGCTTAATACAATGGTCTAACCAATTATATACTAATATATAATTAATAGTTCAAAACTTTTAAAAAATGAAAAAAAAAATCTTTTTTAAATTTATTTATTTTTCTCGTGAAATACTTTTTTCACAATGCTTATATAAGAAATTATGTTCAATTAGGAATGTATCAAAACTAAGTATTTTTCATTTAGATACCTTGGCCCCCTGGGAGAAAAAACCTAGTTCACCCCTAACACTTATGTAAATGGAACAGAACATCCCAATAATCTTGAATAGGTAAGGCGAAAATTTGTTCAGGATAGAGAATACTATGCTACTGTTATCATATAGATCTTAAAAGTTAAACCTACTAGTACAGAGATGGGGAAAAAAACCCAAATTTTAGAGACATAAACCCGGCAAGCACACTATTTCTTGGAGGAATGACTGTACATCTATACTATTATATATTATATTATATATATATATATATGAACAACTCACTTTAGTTTTTTTGAAGCCTACTCTCTCCTCTTGCCAAGTAGATTTTTTTATATCAAAAAAGGGGAAAAAAAATCATAAAGTGAATCTTGGGTTTTTCAAAAAAGGGGAAAAAAAATCATAAAGTGAATCTTGGGTTTTGAAAACACCATTATCACTTGATAAACAAACACTATATATATTTTTAATTCAAAATCAAAATTTATATTTTACAGAGTTAATAGCACACCCATTGGACCCCTAGTACATAAAAATTCATTCAGGCCAAAAAAATTTTTATTCCACTCGTCATGTAGGTCTAAAAAAACCTAACATATATATATATACACCCAACACTATAAACGTCTCCACACATGCGCATGCCCCACAAACATACTAATTCTTGGCGGAATAACTATAAATACATAAAAACCTAATTGCGGATTTGCTATCTAAAGAGAGGAGGAATTGCATGTCAATTTATTTGAATGATCCGAACAAAACCTAACCGATGAAGTCCAACCAGGACGATTAAACCAAAAAAATTAGAAGCGATCAAGCACATTCAAATAATCAACAAACCAATCAATCAAATCATATCAAAATTCCACGTCTCACTCGATCAATCACATGTCATAGGGGTCAAAAAGCCGATTAATTTAACAAGGATGCGATGAATAAACTATTTGGAGACATCAAAAAAGGGGATTTTATGTAAGAAACATTACCTCATTGTGCTTAAGCTTCTTGGCGGCCGAAGCTTGAGAGTCGTCTGAAGCAAATTCGACGATTTCAACATCCATAGCCGCAAACGCGCGTTGTCAAAACCCTCTCTACACAGTTCGATTTTGCAGAGTAGATACATATAAATACGTACACATCTAGCGAGAGAGAGAGAGAGAGAGAGAGAGAGAGTCAGTCAAGTGTTGTGGAGAGAGAAACACCAGCCAAAAGGGAAAAAAAATTAGAGAGAGAAAGAAAGACGGAGAGATAGAGATGTCGATTCGCGCCTTATTAGGTGAAAGTTCTCTATCGTATACAAGAAGGAAAGGCTAGAAATACTGTGCTGATCTGTTTTCATTAGAGTTATGGTAAAAATTAGGGTGTGTTTGGTTTGTGTTTGTAGAATAGTTTTTGAGATAAAAAGTACAAAAATTTGTTTGGTTTGTTTTTTTTCAAAAATGATTTTGGAAAATTATTTTGGAGAGTGAGTTTTAAAAAAAGTGATTGATTTGATGTGTATGAGAGAGAGAGATTTTGGAAAGTAGGTAACTAAACAAAATTTTGAGATTTTTTTTGAAAAAAATTGTTTGGTTTGATTACTCTTGAAAATTTGTTTGTAGATAATTTTTTCCAAATTTTTTTCAGAAAAACAAACCAAACAAGCCCAAATATTTGGTAATTTATTTAATATTCATAATATTTTTCCTTTTTTTATTATGTAACTGATCCAAATATGTGGCCTTCGTCAAATATTCTAGAGGCTAATTACGTCCTATTAATTTTTTATTTATGATATATTTAATTTTAAATTTTAAATATTATTTTAAATAAAAATAATTGAAGATATTAATTTTAAAAAATATAAACTAATTTGATAAAAATAAATGGTAAAAAATAATTTTAAAATTTTTAAAAATTATTTTTATGCATTAAAGATAAAGTTATATAAAAATGATAAAAAAAATTTACATGTTTATTTTTTCACTTTTTGACTAAATTAATTTTTAGTACTATGTGTTTAAATGATAATCATATAATGAGTGAATATTTTTGTTAATATTTTTTTATGGTTATCATGTACTACATAATTGTATTTGTTATTAATAGATATTTTTATATGGTTATTATGTAACGAATATTTATTAGACATTTAATGTATAATCAATATGTTTCATATATAAAAAAAATTTGATTTAGATTTTTTTTATTTAATTAATTAGTTTAATAATGATATCAAAGTTGTTATCATGTTTAACTTTTGAAAAAATAAAAATTAATTTAACAAAAATAAATATCAAAAAAATTATTTTAAAAAATTATTTCTATCCTTCCAAAAAATAAAATTTTATAAAAATTATGTGCTTTTAATTTATTTTTTTTACCAATTTAATTTTTAAAAAATTTTGAAATTAGATTTTAAAATTAAATCAAACAACATTTTATAAACAAAAAAATTCTAAAATTATTCATAAAAAAAAAGTTATTATATTTCAAATAATATATAAGTTAATCAACACAAAAAAAAGTTATATGATGATTTTGCCATTAAAATGAAGTAACAATATCTTCAATTGTCTTTATTTGAAACGAGATTCAAAATTTAGAATCAAATATGTCACAATTATAAGATCAGCATCCAAAATGATATAAGTTTCAAACTATAAAAATTGTTAATATAACTCCCCTACTTTTAATTGGCTCGGTCTGAGACTTCCATATGCTCAGTCTCAATCATTTATTTATTTTTTATTTAAATCAAATATATAAAAATCATGTCTCACATAATTTACATAAATTTTGAATTAAAAAAATAGATAAAAAATTTCTCACATAATTTCAAGGTCATTGTCTCTCTCTCTCTCTCTTCTTTTTTTTTTTTCGACGTTTAGATCATCGTCTTAAAAATGATCTTTTTTGAAAATCAAATATAGAAATAGGGTTTTTGGACGTTTTAATTTATTTGTCCATCTTCTAAATTCTATAACTAAAATCTTTCTTTCCTCAAAATAAATTAAACAAAAGTCAATTTAAATTTGTTTAATATAATAAATTTTAAAAACTCATTTTGTTTTTTAACCTCAATTTCTTATTTTCCCAATTTAAAAATAATAATAAACTATTCATGTGTCTCACATAATTTTCGAATTAAAAAAATTATGTGATAAAATTTCTCACTGATTTGATTGTTAAACTTCAATTTCTTTTTTTTTAATTTAAAAACATAATAAAATATTCATGTGTCTCATATAATTTTTGAATTAAAAATATAAATAAATAAAATTTGTCACATAATTTCTGAATTAAAAAAAAAAAATTACCTAAAAGATGGTCTTTTCCTAAATTCAAATATAGAAAATTCATGTGTCTCACATAATTTTTGAATTGAATAAATAAATGAATAAAATTTCTCACATAATTTTTAGATCATTGCCTAAAAGATGAGTGTCACCTCAAACCAAATATAGAAACACCATTTGTTGACTTTCCAATTTATGTGTCCATCTTTTAAAATCTCTATCTAAAATTCTCCATTCCTTAAAATACATTAAATGAAAATTGATTTATATTTGTTAAATATAATTAATTTAAAAAACTGATTTGGTTGTTTAACCTCAATTTCTTATTTTTCTAATGTTAAAAAATACTAAACTATTCATGTGTCTCACGTAATTTTTGAATTAAAAAATAGATAAACAAGTAAAATTTCTTACATAATTTTCAAATTTAAAAACATCACCTAAAAGATTATCTTTTCCTAAAATCAAACATAAAAAATTCATGTGTCTCACATAATTTTCGAATTATAAATAAATAAAATTTCTCACATAATCTTAAGATAATTGCCTAAAATATGAGTGTTACCTAAATCAAATATAGAAATACTATTTGTTGACTTTCCAATTTATGTGTCTATCTTCTAAATTCTCTATCTAAAATCCTTCATTCATTCCTTAAAATAAATTAAATAGAAATCAATTGAAATCTATTTAAATTTTTTTGTTTTATTGATTTTGTTTCCCTATAAAAATTTTGAAAACTGATTTAGTTGTTTCTCTATAATTAAATTGTTTTGGTTGATTTTTTTTATTTTGGCTACGAAAAGAGAGTTCACAAGGGTTTAGGAAAAAGCAATCAAAGCGTAGAACCAAAGAAAAACATTCGGAGCCTAGAATCAAGAATAACAGCTTGAGCAGCCACTGGAGGAAAAAACTAATTTAGTTTTTTAAGAAAATTGAGCGTTGGTTTGGCATGCCAAAAAGTCTAGTTTTTTTTTTTTTGGCTATTTTAGTCATAAAAAGGAAAAATAGATTAAAAAATAAATAAGACAAAATGTCACATCCAAATCATAATCATTTTATTTTTTCACTCACAAAAATCAAAAAAACCAAAAAACTTATCCCAAATTAGACTTTTTAGTTCTAGGCTAAAATAGTCAAAAGCCAAAAGCCAAAAAACCAACCCACATCTCAAACGAATCCTATTTTGTTATTGTCGACGGTTTGTTGACTTTGCTTTTCGGTTTGGACGTGTCAATGTAGCCACATTCGGTTGGGTTTGGTTAAAGAATTTGAAAAGAGATTTAAAAATGAAAGGAAAAATATAAATAAAATGTGAATAAAATATATTTACATTTCACTTAATTTAACACACATTTTCCCTTTATCTTTCTAAATTTTTTCTCAAATTCTCCAATCAAATACGACGTTAGTTAATTTATGATTTCTCTTCGCACATCATCCCACTCTCAACAACTTTGTCAATTTTCATACAAAACAAACACAATATACAAATCTCTTATACATTGTTTGTTTTTATAGATATATAGTTTTGATTATCCACCGAAACTTACAATTTATTTTACTTTAGTTAGAGTTTCTCTTTCTTTTTTTTCTTTTCAACTGCATGATTAATTTCTGATATGAAATTCATTAATCCGCATTGATGTGTTATGAATTTCACAAACCGTGTGAATAGTTTAAACAGAATCTATTTATATTATAATCCTACATTATAGATATAAATTATATATATTGTGATATGAGTTTTCTTTATGCTTTTGGAATTGGACTTTGGAAAATTACTTTGGGAAGGGCTTTTCTGGGTTTTTTTGGCTATTTTAGCCATAAAAGACAAAATAGGCTATTTTAGCCACAAAAAACAAAACATCACATCCAACCCATAATCATTACACTCTTCTCTCACAAAAAAAGTCAAAAAAGCCAAAAAGTCAAAAAGCTCTTCCCAAACCAAGCTTTTTAGCCCAGACTAAAATAGCCAAAAAAGCTAAAAAGCCAAAAAGCCAACCCACTTCCCAAACGGATTATTTGTTTGGTTGATTTTGTAACCCTATAATTAGTTTGTTGTTTATATAAACTTATTGAGCCAAAATAGATTATTTAAGGTTCATTTGAAAATTCAGAATACAGATATAAATTATTTATGTTGTGATTGAGTTTGATTTATGCTTTTGGGTAAAAAAAATTATCACCTAACTATAATAATAAATCGCTTTTAAATTTATACAAAAAAATTAAGACCAGTAGGTCTATTTGTGTATTTTTATCTTTTCCGTTAAAAATTTCATCTTTTCGCAATTAATTTTACATTGATTTTTTGATTAGTGGATTACAATATGTATAATTTGTTAATCTTTAAACGGACTTGGTGATAGAATAGTATTTGGACAAAATGCATCGGTGGTTCACTGTAGCCGATTAGCATTTGATGATAGATGAAACCTACTGGAGATTGTTACCGGCTACGTTCGTTTAAAGGTTTCTGATTTGAAAAATGAGCTATTATTACAGTATGTATAATTTGTTTTTGTTTTTTTTTTTCAATTATTTGTACATTTATTTTTTTTATTAGTGGATTACAGTATGATTTTTTTATTAGTGGTTCTTAATTGTAAATTTCAAACTTGTTCAATTAAACAATTTTATATGGGCTATTATTATTATTATTATTACTATTTCATTTGGTGGAGGTGTCTTAGACATGCATGTTTAATTTTTTTAGAGTATTTACACACAAGTTCTAATTTATGAACTTATATTTCAATAAGTCCTAGTTAAGATTTTTTGGACCTTCAAGTTCCATTAAATTTTTAATAGTCGGAATTTCCTTTCAAATAATGATTATTCTTCATTTATGATTATCTATAAAGGAGCATGATGATTTGACATTTATTTTGATTTTTAAAACTTTAAAACATTAACTTTCAAATTGAAAAAACTAAAAAAAAAATTCTAAAAAAATTAAAAAAAGAGAATTATTTTTTTGT